AGGGGTGGTGGGGGCGGGGCCCTCACTGGCGCGTGTTGGCTCCCAGTCGCCTGGGGGAGGGGGCGTATATTAATAGGAAACAGTGATAGACCATTCCCCGGAGGGGAAGAAGGGTGTTGGGAGAGGAGCCGCCCTAGACCACCTATGCCCAGAGGGCTGGTGGGGTTTGCAAGGGACGATGGCCTCGGTGCCGCGAGTGTTACATCATGTGCTAGGGTTCGTGGGATCGGGGACGCGAATGTTGCATCATGTATCAAAGAATTTGGTTCCAGGGACGCGAGACTTATGCAATTTACAAGGGCTTGTATTTCGGGAACGCGAATATGGTGTATTTTACAAGGGTTGATGGGTTCGGGGCGCGATTCCCAAGTACTTTGGCGTGTCCCGCGCCCCCCGAAGAATTTTGGGAACCCCGGGGGTGGACGCCAACCAGGCTGGTTTTCGGTTCCCCCCCCCCGTGCGGCCTTCAACAGTTTACAGTAGGAAGCAGAACGTAGAACTATCACAATGGGCACTGGAAGCTTGAACTGGAGCAGGGAACATCAAGCCTATTTCTCGCAGACTGATGGTCCCGCAAGGGGGCCGGCGGCTTAAGTGTGCTGTTATGCTGAGTTTTGTTATGTGATGTTCAGCCATGCTACGTTATATCATGGCCTTGCGCCCGCCCCGCCAACGTGCCTGGGTTGTGGGTCAGCGTTCTCAGGGATGGTTCTTTTGGGCTTCTCGGAGCGCTCTCGGGGGCCTCTTGGGGGCTGTTTTGGGTGTCTTGGGGACCTCATGGGGGTCTCTTGGGGGCCTCTTGAGGGCTTCTTGGGGGCCTCTTGGAGCCTTTTGGGCGCTTCTTGGGGTGAGGCCTCCCGGGGGCCCCTCGGGGCCGCGGGCTCGAAATGTCCGTTCGGGTCCCCATCGGGGCCCCGTCCTGGGGCCATCTTTGGGGTCTCTTGGGCCGTCTTGGGCGCCTCTTGGGCCGTCTCGGGGCAGTCTTGGGCCGTGTTGGGGCCCTCTTGGAGACCTCCTCGAACGTCTTGGGGCGATCTTGGGGCCTCTAGGGCCGTCTGGGAGGGAAGCCGACTCGGCGAGAACGCAAAACACCTAAGGACAATCGACGGTTTTGGTTTCTTGGGGCTCTTTAGTGTTCTTGGAAGCCTCTTGTGGCGTCATGTATGTTTCTTGGGCCGTCTTGGGACCATCTTGGGCGAATTGGAGCGATCCTTGGGCGTCTCGTGACCTTCTTGAGCCGTCTTGAGAGCCTTTTGAAGCCCGCTTGTCCCGTCTTGGGGCGCTCTTGGGCCCGAGCAAGTCACGCGAGAAGCTTCGACAAGCCAGCGTATATTTGGCACTTTTGGGTCCAGGCCCACGTCGTCTGAAAACAGACGGTCTGATTCAGACGTAAATCATTCAAACTTGAGCGATTTAGGCGCGCAATGAATTTAATATTAAATCATTATGCTAGAGTCGTTTACCTTGCGCCGAGTCGTCACGACACAAACCTACCGTAAAGACCCCTCATGGGTGGGGACTGAGGCTTAGAGGAAACGGACAGGACCCAGCCCAGCGGCACGGTGGCGGAGGCTCTGTTATGTTATGGTAGTAAGTTTTGTCATGCTTTGCCAGTTTGTACTATGTTATGCAGCGGTATGTCATGGTATGCTGTGCCATGATCTGGGGTTACATGTGCTGTGATTCTGTGTTATGTGATGATTCGTTCGATTCTGGTAGGTGCAGCGATGCTCTGTTCTGTCTGTTATGGTCTTTTTTGCTATGCTCTGTTATGTCCTGATGTTTGGTGTGATGATCAGTTCTCCCAGTTCCTGTCGTGGTCGTCGAAGGGGTGGAGCGAGGGTCTCGGGGGATGCTCGGTGGACCTGGGGATCTGGCGGCAGCGGTCTGCAGGGTAAGCGGGTCGGGGTGTCTGTTAGTAGAATGTACCGACCTTTCTTTGTCGGGAGGGGGGAAGCGTTGAGAAACTTAAATCCTCGACTGGTGCCCTCGATCCTTCAAGAAGCCTCGGTACCCGAAAGCTTCCGAAGAGGCCCTGCAAAGGCGAGCTCGATTAGAAGGAGCGGCGGTTGGCCCAGCTCTGGCTCCCCCCCTCCCTTCATTTTGATTTGAGTTTCGACGTTGTTCTGCTCTTTGGCTCACGTTGCCATCATTCTGAATGCCCCCTCTCCCCGTCTCCACCTCCTTCGACCCCCCACGCCTCCCCTCCTCCCTCTCCTCGCCGTCATCGTCGTCGTCCTCGACAGTCTTTTCTGAGAGCGGGGGTCGCCTGCCAGGTCGCGGCCAACCGATCTCTGCCACTCACAGTTCGCGCGCGGCGCGGGCAGTTTTCAAAACTAGGCTTAAGTCGGGCGTGTCCCCCTACAAGGGGATTTTCGACGACATATAAAAAATACTCCCAAAATACCCCCAAAAGGTCAAACACTATTCAACAACTAGATCCCAGACTTTTTTTTTTTTGTTTTTTTTTTTTTTCGTCGAACATCCCCCTGTAGGGGGACACGTCCGACTTAAAACTAGGCCTCAGCCTGAGCGCCGCCCGAATTCGTCTCACAAGTTTGCAGCAGTTTCAAATCTGGAGGGCGAGTCCTTCTCAAGGTGTGGCTCTCGCCCTAGCTCCGCGTACGCTCGTGAGCAAAGTTTGCAATTGTTTCAAGGGTTCGTATGGTCGAAGTCTCAGATATTGCGTTCTGGCACGACTTAGGAGTGCCCGGACCTAACAGTCACGTTCATTCGCGGCGTGGCGTTTTGGCACGGTTTCGGATTGTCAGGACGCAACAGTCACGTGGATCCGTTGCGCTGAAGTACCCCGAATTGTGTTTAGGCGGCACGATTTGAGGATTCTCATATGAATTGCCTTCCAATTTCGAGGGGGCCTGTCTTGAGAAGCCACGACGTCCCGACCCCCGGCGCGCGAGAGAATGGGCCCGCCACGTCCCTCTACAGGAGGAATATTCAAAAATAGTAAAAAATAGTCAGAAGATGATTTTTGGGCGATTGTTTTTTGTTTGTTTGTCAATTTTCGTACAGTTTTTAGTATTTCTTTTTTTTCTTTCGTCCAAAATCCGCCTGTAGGGGGACATGCCCGACCTAACCCTGGTTTCCTTTTCCGGGTCATCGGGGAAATCCGAGCAATCCGGCCCCGATCTCCAAACCCGCGCCCATAGGACATCTTCAGAACACCACCCCCCCGAGCCTCCCCAAGGAGGCCCTCCTGTTGTTCCGTTTCCGGGGGGATCCGGGGAGCCTGGCGACGAATTCCAGATCAGCTCCTTCGCTTATTGAGGACATCTTCAAACAACCGGCCTCCGGACCTCGCCGAGGAGGCCTTCAGAGGCTCCTTTTCTACGTTTCCGGCACATCGACATCCTCAGAAAACGGGCTCCCCGAGCCTCCCCAAGGAGGCCCTTTGCGGAGGCGGGAAATCCAGGAAATCCGGAGACGAATTCCACACCGTTGCCCTCGCGTGGGACACCCTCAAAATTCTGGTTGACCCTAGAGGGGGTCCAGCTACAAGAGGGTAGTGCAATAGATCTGGTGCGGGTTGCAGTAGGTATTGGGGCGTGCACTGCACTCCTGGGCGCAAATGTATTGCTGATTTTTCGCGTGCAGTGCATATATAGTTGCAACACAATGCAGCACGATTTTCCAGCGCAACACGTTTGCAATACAATTGTTCCAAATCTGTTGCACCGCCGCATTTCAGCTGGACCCCCCTTTGGGTCCACGGGAACAACCCGGCCCCCCGCACAAGGAGGCCCTCAGACGCGCCGGGCGTGCCCCAGTCCGCGGGCCTCTCGCTCGTCGAGACATCCTCCCGAAGCCGACCCCCAGCAGCGCGCGAGCGATTCAGGCTCAAGTCGGGCCTGTCCCTCTACTATTCAAAATTTGTGAAAAGATCGTCGGGGGACCATTTTTTCTATGATTTGTTGACCATGTTTGAGTTTTTTGTTTTGAATATTTTTAATGAACAAATCCGCCTGTAGGGGGACATGCCCGACCTAACCCTTGATCCCTTTTCCGGGTCATCGGGGAAATCCGAGCAATCCGGCCCCGAACTCAAACCTGCGCCCATGGGACATCTTCAGAACACCAGCCCCCCGAGCCTTCCCAAGGAGGCCCTCGGAGTCTCCTGTTGTTCCGTTTCCGGGGAACCCAGCGACGAATTCCAGATCAGCTCTTTCGCTCATGAAGGACATTTTTTTTTGATCATGTTTGAGTTTTTTGTTTTGAATATTTGTTTACGCAGTCACCGTTTCCGGGGATCTGCCAGCGCGCGCCGGGGCGCGCCAGAGCGCCGGGCGTGTCCCAGTCCGGGGCGCTCGCCCGAGGCAGCCTCGCAGAAGCCGACCCGGGCGTATCCCAAGCCGGGACCTCCCGCTCGAGGCACGCTCGCAGAGTCGCCAAGTCTCCCCTCGGGGGAGGCCCCTGAGGACGATGAGCAGGGAGACGTATGGGGGTGGATCCGAGGAGGGGTGGAGGGGAGGAGGAGGGAGGAGGAGGCGGGAGGAGGAGGAGGAGGCGGGAGGCAGAGGAGGAGGAGGAGAAGGAGGAGGAGGAGGTGGTGGTGGAGGCAGAGGAGGAGGAGGTGTAGGCAGAGGAGGAGGAGGAGGAGGAAAGGAGGAAAGCTGGAGGAGGTGGAGGCAGAGGAGGAGGAGGAGGAGGAGGAGGAGGAGGCGGAGCAGGAACGACCTCCAGGGATCTCACGGGATTTCCTGGGAAGGTGGATGTTGCCAGCATGGGAGCGGGAGGGGCTGGATGCCACCGCCTCCCGCTCATTCTTCTCTAACCCACAAGCACATGCCTCTTCTTTTCTATATGGAGAGACTCCCGGTCAACCGCAGAGCGGCCGGCTAGTATGCGACTTCCCGCAATGAAGATACACGCCAGTCTTCACAGAGAGTTTGGAGGGAGGGTGTATATTGCAACGCAATTAATGCGCCTTGGGTTTACTCTGGTCCTCCTCTTCCTCCAGCTCCACCTCCGCGCCCGCGGCGCAGGAGTACGCCGGGAAGCTCGAGGAGCACGAGAAGGAGAGGGCCGCGGAGCGCGAGCGCGAGGAGAACGAGCTCAAGGAGGAGCTGGAGGACCGCGTGGGGCGGGAGGCCGTGCCACGGAGTCCTCGCGTTTCGCGGGGTGCACGCCTGAACCGCGCACAGTCCAGTCGTCGTGGAGACTCCTGGGAGCCTCTCGGGGGCCTCCTGGGGGCCTCCCGGTGGCCTTTTGGGGGCCTCTCACGGCCGTCTGCGGGAGCTCTTGCGCCGTCTGGCCCTTTCGGAGGCCGTCTTGGGGGCCTCTCGCGGCCGCCTGGGGGCTCTCTTGTGGTCGTCCTTGGTCCATCTCGTGGTGCTCTTGGCCCGTCTTGAGGCCCTCTTGCGCCGTATGGGGGGCATCTTGGAGGCTGCATGGTCGTCGTGGGCCCCCGATCGTCCATACATGAGAAATCGCTTACCTCCTTCAACAACCGTAGGACAAGCAACCATGTTTTTGGGCATCTTGGGCAACCTTGTGGGCCTTCTGCATGGGCTCTCTTGGGGCCATCTTAGGCCGTCCTGGGGCCGCCTTGAGCCGTCTTGAAGCCATCTTGGGCCGTCTTGAGCCCCCCTTGGACCCCCAGAATGCGCACATGTTCAGTGATTTTCCTTGCGTTTAGTTGTTTTTTCATGAATATTGTAAAGTGCAGCGAGAAGGGCCGGCGACTCGGCGGGTGCTTTGGGGGGGTTAAAGGGCGTTGCTTTGCAAAGGATAATCTGACGATGTATGGCAAGCTGGCGCTCCCTTGAGGCATCGTGTTTTTGGCGCTTGCGTCACACACCCGTCCCGTCGGACTGCCGACGCGCTTTGCTGCAGTCCAGACGTGGATTCCTCTCGCTTCGCGGGGTGCACGTCCAGAGAGCGCGTTCTGATTGGTCGTTGGGTTGTTTACCCTGATCGTCTGCTGCGCTGTTCTGCCGTGGTGTTCTGCCCGCCCTCGGGCGCTGCCAGCGCCACGCGGGGCGGATGCGCCGCCTCTCCGTTTCGGCGCTGGGGCGAGCGTGCGAATGTTCAAGGGGGCAATGGACATTCACCGCTTGTCAGCACAGGGCAACACCAAGATCAAACTCCGATGAACATGGCCACAACGTGCCATGCGTACACAATTCCGCGGGCCTCTTGGTGGTTTATTAGGGCCGTTTGGGCGCGCCTCGGGGGCCTTTGGGGGGGCCTCCTTGGGGCCTCTTCGGGGCCTCTTTGAGCCTTTTGGGATGTCTTTGGGGCCTCTCGGGGCCGCCCTGTGGCTCTCTGGAGGTCCTCTTGGGGCCACCTTGGGGCTCTTTTGGGCTGTCTTGGGCCCCTCTTGGGGGCCTCTGGGACCGTCGCCTGGCCATCTCTGAGGCTGGTTCGGTCCTCCTGGGCTTCCGAGAATAGCAAATGGCGACTACGCGAACAGCTGGCAAAATCCTAGGGCAACTCAGTACTTTTAGGCTCTGGAGGCGCTCTTGGGCTCCTCCTGGGGGCCCTCTGGGGCCGTCTTGGGGACCCTTTGGGCCGTCTTGGGGCCATGTTGGGCCGTCTTTGGGCCATCTTTGGCCGTCTTGAGGCCTGCTCGAGCCGTCGTGAGGTCCTCTCCCCCAGGAGGTCCCAGAGGCGCACGTTTCTGGGCACCAGACGGGGGTTTGCCATCTTGGCCCGCGGATGTGGCGTGACTCTGGTGGGGGGTTAGGGGGGAACACATCATAATTCTTTACGCTTCGCGTATCCCCACCAGCCCATCTCACAGCAGCAACTCTTGCGAAGCATGCCGACAGTCGTGTTTTTCAGGCGTGTGTCCGCTTGGCCCCGCATATCTCCCCTGTTCCTCCTTCCTCCCGCCTCCTTGTACATCCTCCTTGTGGGGGGAGCGGGAGAAGGACGAGGCGGAGGAGGAGGGAGAGAAAGCGCTCCTCGTGATTTGAGTCGTTTGGGGTTTCTCGTCCTGGTGTGAGTCGTTCGGGCCCTTCTTCCTGGTGTGAGTCGTTCGGGCTCTTCGTGGTGTGAGTCGTTCGGGCTCTTCGTCCTGGTGTGAGTCGTTCGGGCTTCTCGTGGTGTGAGTTGTTCGGGCCCCTCATCCTGGTGTGAGTCGTTCGGGCCCCTCCTCCTGGTGTGACTCGTTCGGGCTCCTCGTGGTGTGAGTCGTTCGGGGCCCGCGTCGTGGTGTGAGTCGTTCGGGCTCCTCGTGGTGTGAGTCGTTCGGGCGCCTCGTCCTGGTGTGAGTCGTTCGGGCCCCTCCTTATGGTGTGAGTCGTTCGGGCTCTTCGTGGTGCGAGTCGTTCGGGCCCCTCGTCCTGGTGTGAGTCGTTCGGGCTCCTCGTGGGGCCTCTTGGGGGCCCCTTGGGGCCTCTTGGGGCCTCTTGGGGGTCTCTTGGGGGCCTCTTGGGGGCCTCTTGGGGGTCTCTTGGGGCCTCTTGGGGCCTCTTGGGGGCCTCTTGGGGGCCTCTTGGAGGCCTCTTGGGAGCCTCCTGGGGGCCTCTCGGGGCCATCTTGGGGCCTCTTGCGACCTCCTCAGAAGCGCAAGTGAGCGCTGCCCCCTGAGAAGGACAAAATGAGCCCAAAACCTTCGTAAAAACAATGGTTTTGCTATGAAGGAAGATGAGCGCGGCCCCCTCAGGAGGCCAAAATGGGGCCAAAACCGTAGTAAAATCAATGATTTTGGCTTCAAAGAAGAGGAGAGGGTTTTTTCTGCTCCCCCCCCGTCGGGGCCAGAATCCTCGTGAGGGGTGTTGTTTTTTAGCCCTCCCAGGAGTCGAAAATGACCCCCCTGACGACCCGCGGGACTCCCTCTCCAGGCCCAGGGGGAGGGGGTAGGGGGAGGGGTAAACCCCTCCCCGAAGGGGAAGAAGGGGGGTTGAGAACAGAGCGGGCTCTCTAAACCACTCACGCCCAAAGGGCTGGTGGGATTTACAAGAACGCAATTTGATGCATAGGTTACGTTGCATGTCCTCTGGGGCTGTTTTGGGGGCATGTTGAGCCGTCTTGGGGCCTCTTGGGGCTATTTTGGGGCCTCTTGGGCCGTCTTGGGGTCGTCTTGGGGGCCTCTGTGACCGTCTTGCGGCCATTTCGGAGGCTGGTTCGGCCAGTACTGGCCTTCTAGAATAGAAAACGGCGAGAACGCGGACATCTGGAAAAAAGCCCAACGGACAATTATTGTTTTTGGATTCTGGAGGCGCTCTTGGGCCTCCCTGGAGGCCCCCTGGGGGCCGTCTTTGGGCCATCTTGGGCCGTCTTGAGGCCATCTTGGGCCGTCTTGAAGCCATCTTGAGCCGTCCCGAGTCTCTCTTGGACCCCCAGGAGGCCGCAGAGGCCGGCATCATAGACTTTGGGCACGTTCGGTCCCGGGGAGTTTGCCACGCTGGTCCACTGATGTACCGCCGTGACTCAGGTGGGGGGGGTAGGGGAGGTACAACAAGAACACAATTTTTAGCAAGTGTGCAATAATTTGATGCATCGGATACGTTGAATTAAGGCGTTCGCCGAAAAACGTTGCGGCTCAGCACGTTTTCTCCGGACGTGGATTCCTTTCGCTTCGCGGGGTGCACGTCCAGAGCACGAAAGACTGGGCGTTGGGTGGTTTGTCCTGCTCGTTTAGGGCGCTGCCAGCGCCACGGGGGGCGGATGCGCTTCCCCTTTACGTTTCAGAGCCGGGACGAGCGTGCGCATGTCCACGAGGGCAGCGAGCATTCACCGCGCGTCAGATGCGCCGCCTCTCCGTTTCGGCGCTGGGGCGAGCGTGCGAATGTTCACGGGTGCAATGGACATTCACGGCGTGTCAGCACAAGGCAACGCGCAGATCAAGTTCCGATGAGCATATAGCAACGACGCGCCATTCGAAAACAATTCCGCGGACATATTGGTGGTTTCTTTGGGCCGTTTGGGGGCTTCCTCCTCCTCCTCCTCCTCCTCTTCCCCCCGCCTCCTCCTCCTCCTCCTCCCCCTCCTCCTCTTCCTCCTCTCTTCCTCCATCCTCTTCCCCTCCTCCTCCTCCTCCTCCTCCTCCTCCTCCTCCTCCTCCTCCTAGTCCTCCTCCTCCTCCTCCTCCTCCTCCTCCTCCTCCTCCTCCTCCTCCTCCCCCACGTGGCTCCCCAGCGAGGCCCCGCGCAGCCGTTTCGCCCTGCGGCGGGCGCGGCCAGGCCCGCGATCACGGGGCGCCCCCAGCGCCGAGGGAAGGCGCGAAGGCATGTACCGCCGATGGCCGAAGGCGAGAGCTCGTGTGCGCCCTCGGGTTGGGAGAGGCGCCCAAGCAGCAGCCGGCGGCGCGCGTTGCGGCGCCTGCGCTTGGCAACGCGCAGGCAAACGCAACTGGACTTCGGTTGGCTCCTCAGCGCGCAGTGGCAGTCTTGGGAGGCGAAGGTAGAACCCGACGCCATCCGCTGCAGCGCAAAGATCGGAGCGGGCGAGGCAGCGACGACAGCCGAGGCACCGTGGTGGGGCCTGCAGTGGATGCACGACTACGCGGACGAGGCAGAGGAGGCCAGGAAGGCCGCGGAGGCTAAGAAGGCAGAGGAGGCCAGGAAGGCCGATGAGACAGGGCAGTGGCAGCGTCGTGCGGGCAACTCGTGTGAGAAGAACGGGCGAGAGGCGAAGCTGGAGGCCAACTACTCTAGCCACATTATTGGGAACTGCGAGTGCGAGAAGTGGGAGGCTACGATAGAGCCCAACACCATCAGCTACAGCGCGGGGATCAGGGTGTGCGAGAAGGACGGACAGTGGCAGCACCGAGTGGGCGACGACTGTGCGTGCGAAAGGACGGGCAGTGGCAGCCTCAGGCGGACAGGCTGTGGTCGCCACGAGCGGACGAGCAGAAGCAGCCGAATGGGGTCGTGCCTTGTGCGCGCGAGAAGAGTGGGCAGTGGCAGCTCCGCGAAGGCCAGGGCCGATCTTGCGAGAAGTACGGGCAGTGGCGGCCTCTAGAAGTCGGATCCCGCTCGTGCGAGAGGGACGGCCAGTGGCAGCCTCGAGCGTGGAGGAGGCCAGGGCGGTCGACAGAAGAGGGTGTTTTTTTGCACTTCTGGCAGGGGTCAAGATTTGTGAGGAAGACGGGCAACGGCAGCTTCGAGCGTGCGAGAAGGACAGGCAGTGGCAGCCCCGAGTGGGCGAGCAATGGCCGCTTTCGGCGGACGGGCAGTGAGCGCGTCGCGAAGACAGACATTTTGCGTGCGAGAAGGGCGAGCAGTGTGAGAAGGACGGGCAGTGGCAGCAGAAGGCGAAGGACGAACCTGGGAACAGCGTGCGCGAGAAGCGGGAGGCGCAGGTTGAGCCCGACGCCATCCGCTACAGCGTTGGTGGCTCATATCGTCAGTCGCTGGGAGCAGTGCACGCGAAAAGTGGGAGGCGAAGGTAGAGCCCGACACCATCAACTACAGCGTTGGGACCAGGGCGTGCGAGGAGGGGCAGGCGAAGCTAGAGCCCAATATCGTCAGCTACAGCGCTGGGAGCAGCGCGCGCGAGAAGGAGTGCGGGAGCAGGATCAGCCAGGCGATGTGGGCAGCGCGGCGGGGCATCGCCAGCAAGTAGCTGCCGTGCCAGTCGAGGCCCGCGCGGGAGGCTGAGGCAGAGCAGCAGCAGAGGGTGCTGCGCAGGCCGTGCGTCACGGCCCGCGCAAAACACAGGGCTCGTGAGGGAACGGAACGCCCAGCCAAGCGCTGAGACGCGGAGCGCCAGGCAACGGGTGCGGCGAGCGGCGGGGTTTTCTGCTACTAACCCCACACCCCGCCGCTGCCGTGGACCCCACCCTCGGCGAGGGCAGCGGCAGCCGTCTGCGGACGCTGCCGGCTCGTGCGAGAAGGGCGCTGCGAGGGCAGTGGCAGTCTCCGTGCGAGAAGGGGCGCGCGCCCGAGACGGCGCGGATGGGCAGTGGCCGCCGTGTGAGGGCATGGTGGCTGCCTGTGCGAAACAGGCCGCCGCCTGTGTGGCAGGCCCGCGCGAGTCGCGGTGCCCACAGGCGAGGGCGCGGCCGTGGGGCCGCGGCGTGCCCCCCCTCCGCCCCCCTCCTCCGCGCGACCCCAGTCGCCTCGGGAAATGTCTTCGAAACGTCTCCTCCTCCTTCTCCTGCTCCTCTTCCCCCTCCTCCTCTTCCTCCTCCTCCTCCTCCTCCTCCTTCTCCTTCTCCTCCTCCTCCTCCTCCTCCTCCTTCTCCTCCTCCTCCTCTTGGGGGCATCTTGGAGGCTTCCTGAGGGTCCGTGGCGGCCTCTCTGGGGCCCTTGGGGCCCTTTCGGGGGCCTTGTGGGTCCTGGGCCTGGTGGGCCGTCTTGAGGCGCTCTTGCGCACCGTCCGGCCCCCTCCGAGGCCGTCTTATGGGGGGCCCTTCGGGGGCCCTTCCGAGGCGCTTATGCGCGCCGCCTCGTGGCTGTGTTGGGGTCTTCTTGGGCCGTCTACGGCCCCCTGAGCCTTCTTGGGGATTTTGTGGTCCATCTTGAGGCCCTTTTGGGCCATTGTGGTGCCCTCTTGAGGCCGTCTCTGGCGCCGTCGCGAGGCGAGCTGCTCGGGCCGTCATGGGCCCCCGAGAATCGTAGAAGGCGGGAGAGCGAACAGATGGTAAAACCGTGTGGGAATCCATGTTCATGGCTTTGGGGGTACACTTGGGGGTCTTCTTGCGGCCTGTTGGGGCCGTTTTGGGAGCCTCTTGGGGCCTTTGGGGGCCATTTTGGGCCGTCTTGGGCCTTCGGGGAGCTGCGTTGAGCCGTCTTGAGGTTTTTTTGGACGCCCAGGAGGCCCCTCAGGCTGATATCATATATTTTCCAAACGTTTTGGTGAGTTTTTAGACAAAACGGGTTTTGCCATTTTGGTCCGCGCATGTGGCACATTCCAGGCCAGGGGTTACGGGGGATCCCCGTCCGGAGGTGACGTGCTGAGCGGCAGCGTTTTCTGGCGAACGCCTGAATGCAACGTATCCAATATATCCAAACTTACTACGTATTGTAACGTGTTACATTATAATTTCTCCCTTCTCCCCCTTCTCTCAGGGGCCACGCCACATCCACCGACCCAAAGACGGTGGACCCCTTGTGGTGTTCAAAAGCCGCCCAAACCGATATGACATCTATGATTTGGACCCCGTGGCCCTCCCGGGGGCCCAAGAGGGCGTCAAAATGACTCACGATGGGCTCTAGACGGCCCACGACGGCCCCGAGACGGCCGAAGATGGCCCCAAGAGGGCCAACAAAAACGCCCAAGGCGGCCCAAGAGGGCCCCCAAAGGAGCCCCAATAGCGCCTCCGCAAGCCCAAATCATTGATTGTCCGAAGGGTTTGGAAGGGTTTTCGCGTTCTCTTTTTGTTCAGTTACTCCTGACGACCCAAGCAGCCTCCCAAATCGCCCCATGACGGCTCAAGAAACGCTCGAGAGGACCCCAAGACGGCCCCAGAGGGCCCCAAGACGGCCGAAAAGGTCCCCGAGACGGCCCAAGGGGCCCACGAGACGGCCCAAGAGGATCCCAAGAGAGCACCCAGGCGGCCGCGAGAGGCCCCCAACACGGCCTCCGCAGGGGCCAAACGGCGCAACAGCGCCCAACACGGCTCAAGGCGCCCCCAAGAAGCCCAAAGAGTTTCCAAAGAACTCCCCAAGAGACTGCCGAGAACCCCCAACACGAATTGATTGTACGTACTCCGGACGTGCACCTCGCGAAGCGATAGGAATCTACAATATTGCCAGGTAGCGCAGTATTTAGACATAGTGTAATATGTGATACATTGGACACGTTGTGCTCAGGCGTTCGCCAGAAATCGTTGCCGCTCAGAGCGTCACATCCTGACGTGGCTTTATTGGCTTAGGCCGTTCGTAGAAGCGTTTTGGCGCTGTGCGTCCATCTGGGGAACCCAAAGCCGTGCTCAAAATTAGCCATGTTGGATCGTTTTCGGGCCCTCTTCGGCGCATCTCGCGGCCCAATGCGGGAATTTTCGGGAGTCTCTTGGGGGGCTCTTGGGGTCTTCGGGGCGCTCTTGAGCGTCCAGGCGCTTTCGGAAATCGTTTGGGGAGCCTCTCTGAGGCCGTTGGAGGCCCCTGGGGCCATTTTGAAGCCCCCTTAGGCCGTCTTGGGGCTTTTTCGGGTGCTTCTTTGGCCGTATAGATGCTTTTTGGGGGGCCTTTTGTGTCTTTTGGGGCGATCTGGGGGGTGACTTGAGCCGTCGTTGACGCGGTTAAGACCGAGAAGGCGCACATGCTAAACGTATGCCCCCTCTTAGGGGTCCTCTTCGAGCCCTCTTGGGCTGTCTTGGGGGCTTCATGGGCTGTCTTCCAACAGCCTTGGGGCATCTTGGGGCCATCCGTGGCCAAGAGGAGGAGAAGGAGGAGGAGGCGGAGGAGGAGGAGGAGGCCATCTTGGGCCGTTTTGGGGCCTCCTGGGGCAATGTCGAGGCCGCCTGAGGCCGTCCAGGGGCACTCTTCTGAAGCAGTTGACCCCCCCAGGTCCACTGACGTCCGGGTCGCCCCCCTCCAGACAGGCCAGGCCGAGCTTGTGGGAGAGCGGTCGGGGGAGGGGTATGTACAGTCGAGTTTGATTCGTAGGTTGACCCTGCCCAAACAAGGGAACCTTTGTTCGGGGGTGGACAGAACCCCCAACAGTGACACGTCGATTAGTGAATTGTCCGTTTTCGGTTCTCGAGAGGGCGCCGTGGCCGTTATTTTCCAGGCTTGCGCCCGCCAGGTTTGGGTCTCAGATCGTTTTCACTAAACCACGTTTTACTAAAGGGGGGTCTGTCCATCCCCGATTTGTGTCCTGTGCTTCGCGACCCGTGCCCTCAACGTTCCACTGGCAGTGTGGCCATCGGAAGAGTCTTGTGCCCTCTCGCGTGTCCTCTCCAATCCACCCCGAGTCTGTTTTCGCACGCCTTCTGACCCCCAAGGGGTCGGCTGATCTCCGATGATCTGTTTGTCCGATCCGGGTTGTATTCTCCTCGATCTCGGCCCCCGGGGCGCGCTTTCGGGCCCCCGGGGCCATCGGGGACGGATATCCGGGACGCACATCTGCTCCCCCGGGGGAAGGGGTCTCGGTGGCCTCTGGGTCCCAGAATGGATCAAACACTAGATCGGTGGATGTCAGGTCATCGTTTTCTTATTCGTTGTTTCGCCGATCGGCGCGGTCCGTCGCACCCCCCCCTCTCCCCCCCCTCCCGTGGAGTAGATCTTGGGTGTCTTTTGGCGCCCGTCTCGAGCAGGTGAAGCCTCCCCATGGGACGTACTGTTGCAAACAGTCGCACTAAGCAGAGGTCTGGAGCCAGACCTCGAAGAAGCAACTGCATAAACATACACTTTTGGCGGTACGCGCGGAGTTCTTGTATCCGCGCTGGGAGCCCCCGGGCGGCGCCTCTGGCGCCGTCCCTGGCGCGCGGAACGCGCCAGAGATCTAAGCTTTTTTGGTCGGCGGCTCCGAGGCAACGGACAGGGAGCGAAAGCGGCGTTCAGGTTCACGGTACTGGGCCATTTTTATTTTTTTTTTTTTTTTTTTCTTTTAGTTAATTTTTTTTATTATGTTTGTTTTTTCTTTTTATCTTTGTTTTTATTTTTTATTTTATTGTTTTTTTTACCTCTCTACTCTGCAAACCCAGCCGCCACCAAGAGTATCTGCGCCGGAGCGTCAAAAGTTTATGCCCATTGTTTATTTTTTTATTTATATTTTTTTTTATTTTTATTTTTTTTTTTTTTTTATTTTTTTTTTTTTGTTTTTTTTTTCTTTTTTTTTTGTTTTTGTATTTTTTTTTTTTTTTAATTTTTTTTGGTTTTCTTTTTTTTTTTTTTTATTTTTTTTATATTTTATTTTCTATACATTTTGGCTCAAGCCATTTTGGCTCAAGGCGCGCCAAGCATTTCGCATACCCGTACACTTCCCTCCTACTACCCACGCAGGTCTTCGATTGTTTTTCTGGGTGCTCGTGTCTTCGGCAACTTACGTGAAGATGCCGGCTGAAAAGCACCATATGGGGACACCAGTGAAAAGCGTGCTGAAACCACCATCGGATAAAATGCGACGTACGGGAAGTTCACCACTACAAGTTGACGACGAAGGACCTCGAGCTTTACAAGACCAATTCCAGCAACGTCTTGCGGGAGCTGGCGAGGCGACTGGCTCCAACATGATGAGCAAGACCCCTCAAGCACTCACTACCGATACTTTCCGGGATATTTTGAACGAGCAGTTGGACCCGATCCGGAAAGATATTTTGGCCATTAAGGAGCACGGTGTTTCACAACATGACCTCCAGGCGGCCATCAACCCACTGAAGGACGAGATTGACGGCTTGACCAAGAGGATTGGCTTATTGGAGTCGAATTACACGTCACGTCCGCCAACTTCAGGTCCCACTTCTGCAAGGACAGCGTCAAGTATAGACACGGCGGCGCACAATAAACTGCAAGAGCTTGAACGGGACCTTCAACAGCTTAAACAACAGCGTGGCGCACCTGTTTGCCGTTCACAGCATGATCCTGATGAGAAGCGGTCGTTGACTGGTGTCTTTGGGAACCTTGTGGGGTTCGACATGTTCAACACAGCGGCAGCATGGATCAAGGAAAAACTATCCGAAGCAGACGGCCCCACCCCGTACAACCTGTACATGAAAGGCGATACGACCACCATTTTTCATGCAGAGTTCGCCACCACGCTGGACAGGGATACTGCCGTGGCTCTGATCAAAAGTGCGAAGTTCGATTTGAATGGGAATACTGTATGGGCTTCGCCCGACCGCCATCCATTAGAGAGGGCCGCTCGGAATTTCTGTTTCGGGCTGAAATATTTCTTCAAGGACACCATGCACTCGACCTACACCATAAATGTATCAAATGACGCTCCTTACCAAGTTCGAGTGGGTGGTCAGTTGGCTCTCACTGTTACTACGGACGGCACGCATCTTACTCGTAAGTGGGAGGAGGAATGGGAGAAGTGGGAGGAAATACAACAACACGAAAAATTAAAATAATTGACAGCTAAATGCGATTCCTTAGTCACCCGGGCGACTGCAGGGATGAAGGGAGGGGCGAAGGGCAAATCTAAGGGTGACGGGAAGGCGTAAGAAATGCGGCAAGTATCAGGGAACGTCCGACTTGATACCGGAGCCGGTGAACAAGGACATCCGCAATCTGACCCGCCTAACTTTTTGATCATTGGGGATATGCTGGGCAAAGTTACCAATTTCTCCAACAAGTCGGTTTCAGATGTCTGCCCCCGAAAAGTCGTCAACAGATATGTTGAAGATGGACCTCCTCATCCTAGTTCTCTTGAGTCCGATGGTTCTGGGCGTAACCAGGGCAAAGCTACCGCTATGTTCAGACCCACGGCATCCCGCGCATTTTCTGCAGCCGGCATGGGCGACAACTCCAAGCCGCAGCAACAATTACAATTTCATACTCCATCTTATTTATCTTCGTCTCCTCCTACTCCCCCGGCTTCTTCTACATCAGCGTCTCGCGTGCCACCGCCGAGGACTCTGGCCCGCCAGGCTACTTCGGCGCAGGCATCCCCAGCTCTGACGTCCGCATCTTCCCCTCCTCTGGGATCTCGTTCGGTGATGGGCAAAGCTACCGTTTCCGTAAGCCTTCCAACGCATGATAGTTCATGTTGTGATGGACGTATACTGGGCAAAGTTGCCACTGCGGCCATCTACACATGCACGCCTTCATCACATACATCCTCACCATCTTCTTGCGCGGGTGCCGTTCCCGAAGGGCGGGCCCATCGTGGCCATGTTTCACTCAGGGCCCCGGCGGTCCTCAACCTTCACTTCGCCGCTGCCCCCGTCGACGGGCTGACCGACGACAACGAGGGCCCGGACATCGAGGCACAGTCGGCCAGGACAGGCTCGCATTCTTCTTCCCGTACTTGCGTGGGCCACCGAACTCAGCAACAGGCCGGGGGACAGACACATTCCACGAGGCAGACAGCTCTATGGTGTCAACCTCGCCGCTCTTTTTCTTTTTTTTTTTTTTTTTTTTTTTTTTCTTTTTTTTTTTTTTTTCTTTTCTTTTTTTTTTTTTTTTTTTTTTTTTTTCTTTTTTTTTTTTTTTTTCGTTTTTTTTTTTCTTCTTTTGTTTTTCTTCTTTTTTTTTTTCTTTTTTTTTTTTTTTTTGTTTTCTTGCGTTCCGCTGGGTTCGGAACAATTGGGTTCTTGGAATGTTGAAGGACTCCGAGTCGACTCCAGGATCAAGCTTACCGAGCTGTTCCGGATGATGAACTCCATTGGGCTGGGAATTCTTTGTATCCAAGAGACGCAACTTCATGGCGCATATTATGAAGAAGAGCTTGGATTCTTAATTTGTTTATCCGGGGAACTCGACGCAGAACGGCTTTCCAACGCAGGAGTCGGTTTTATAATAGCTCCATGGGCACGGGCATCACTTGTAGCTTTCAGGACATATTCGCCAAGATTGGCATCAGTGCGGCTTCGAGTGCAACATGGCGTCTTGGATCTTATATCCGCGCGCGCGCCACACAGCGGGCGCGATTGCGACGAGAGGCAACATTTCTTTTCCGAGTTGGGCGCAACAACGAAACCCACGACAACGCACAGCACTACTTTAGTACTGGGCGACTTCAACGCCAAGTTGCAGCAAGGATTGGGGGAATCAGACATTATTGGAGATAGTGCATTCTCGGGTGGGTCAGCCCGCAGCATCCTGCAACCAGTATCTAACAGACAACTTTTGATCGAATACTGTATCGAGAAGGACATGTTGGTAGCGAATACGTTTTTCAAGGTACCAGTGGAAGAACAGATTACGTTCAGAAACTTGGGGACTCTACCGTCAGAGCCGATTTCGCCGGACAAGTTCAGTCAAATTGACCACGTGTTGTGTCATAACACGGTATTGCCTTGGGTGCAAGATTGCAGGACAGACCGTACCGTAGCATTGAACAGCCACCACTTCCTGACCAAGGTGATGGTGAATTTCGCATTCAAGAAACACCGTGACACGCAAACACAATGTCAAAAAGATGCATCTTCTGTCCAGGAGCCGGACACCAAGGCTGCATTTACCAGGGCTTTCACTGAGGCTTGGGAGGCCAACCGGCCGCCGAAGGGATCGCATAACGACATGGCCAACAACGTCGAGCGAGCGTTCGCTTCGGCGTCTTCCACATTGCGGACAAGGCCCGCTCGAGCTAAGAAAGAATGGATTTCCCAATCTACATTGGATTTGATTGAACAGAGAGACGCATGCCGCCGCTCTGGAGATTATCAAGCAGAGCGCCTACTTCACAAGCGTATCCGGAAGGCAGCCCGGCATGATCGCACGAATTGGATTCATGAGACGCTGGTGGGAGGAAAATGGGACGCCGTAATGCAACTCAGGAAGAAGCCGCAGATGAAGCACGCAGGAGTACGTGACATGAACAATAATTTGACTGACACCGCTGGCAGGCCAGACGCTTTGGCAGATTACTTTGAGAAGATCCAATGGGAAGTCAAATTTGCAGATATCAGCCCTACGTCAACAAGCACTTTGGGCAGCGAGTTGCCAGTGGATGTGTCTGCCTTCACGCTGGGGGAGCTACAACAAGCTTTGCGGAAAATGAGAAATGGGAAAGCCGCTGGCCCAGATGACGTCCCGCCAGAATTCTGGAAAGTCGTTTCTGAAGATGCCCATGCGGGCGGGGCTCTACTGGAAATCTGCCAAACATGCTGGGCGACTAAAGATATCCCGGACAAATGGAGGAGGGCGAAAGTAATACTTCTATTTAAGAAAGGAGACCACACGTTGCCTAGCAACTACCGCCCGATTTCTTTGTTGACTGTTGGCTACAAGGCACTGGCGTCAATGCTCCACCAGAGGCTCTTACGAGGAGGAGCTGAAGAACGAATGAGATCATCTCAATTCGGTTTCCGGCCTCGGCGGGGAACGGCAGACGCTCTCACGTTGAGCAGGCGAATCATCGATGCGGCCAACGTGGACAACACCGGGGGCCTTACGATAGTCTTGCTTGATTGGGCAAAGGCGTTCGACAGGTTAAAGCCGGAATGCTTGTGTGCAGCTTTGATGCGCTTTGGGGTCCCTTCTCCGATGGTAGACGTGATCAAAGGCATATACTCGGAGCGCTTCTTCACCACAGTGGATCATTGCGGCTGCTCTACGGAAAGGCGGCAGGCTGATGGAATAGCTCAGGGTTGTCCTCTATCCCCGTACTTGTTCATTATTGTTCAGAGTGTCATGCTTCATGATGTATACCACGGTCTCCAGCTACGAGATGAACCCGGATATGTGGTTACCCGAG